TAGAAAAAGTTATTAAGTAGGTCCAATATAGAGGTAGTTATTAAAAAACTTTTTCTTTCAAAATAAATAAGAAAAAAATTTTATGAGTTGAGAATTGTATTAGAAAAGTAAGGTAAAAAAAATTTTACTTTTATCTCTTTTTTTTTATTATAATATTAATATATAAAAATATATAAATAACCTTATAAAAAATTTTAAAAAATTTTAAGAGAAACAATTTTCCCAAACAAACATCCCTTGAATTGAATGTGTAGAAAGCAATTTTCTCCGGTTCTGCCACTAACATGTTCCAATTTTGCTGTCACCAAATACGTAATAAAATAACTAGCTTTTCAATCCCCGTAACGTAAGGTTTGCCGAAGGTAACATTAATGTCAAAGAAGAAGACCAGCCACCGTCACCAGTAATAATTAGATCCACTTCCTGGTGGAAAAGGTACGAAGGAATCGTCAGTTGACCGTTATTTGAAGCTCTCATAGTTTTGAGCATGTTACAACAATATAATTAAGGTTAAATGTTAATTTTGATTTTTTAATTTTTTATAATTTTTATTTTATAATTTTATTTTTACATTTTTTTAATTCTTTAACTATGAAAAATGTATTTTTTTAATGTTTTCGTTAATTAATTTATTAAATCTATCTGAATTTACATATTTTTAGTCTCTCAACTTTTAATATATGCATATTTTTCATCCCTCTACTTAAAATAGAAAGACTAAAAATGCATAGATTTAGATAAACTTAATGGATTAACTAATGAAAAACTAAAAAAAGTACATTTTTTATAGTTAAAGGATCAAAAAAGTGTAAAAAAAAAGTTAAATAATGAAAATTATATAAAACTTTAAAGTTAATGGATCAAAATTAACATTTAACATATAATTAATACTTAATTATTAAGAGATAGAGAAATAACTGAGATAGGGAAGATGGTTTTAAGTTTTAACTAATTTACATCCTTTTCTAAGTTTTTTAATGCCCAAGTTTTTTTGTAGCTAAATGGTGTATGCATTATAGCATATTAGAGTATTAAGCACCAAAATTGCTTCTTTTTTGAATGATTGTGCATGGAATTGCAAAATCAATTGTATTATACGCCTTTTTAATCAATGAATCACATTTTTACTAGAAGGAAAAATCATTTCCCTCAACTTAACTAGTAACCAAACGAAAAGAAAAAATTAGAGAAGAGAAAAATACAAAGCAGAAGAGAATGTGTTTGTGGCATGGGCTAAAGTATTATTAAATGCCTAAAAAGAATTGGGTATGCAAGCCCCGCTAAGTCGTATTCTTTCTCATCTTTATTTGTGTTGTCTTTGGAGGGCAAAGCGGGGCCGCCAACCCACTAAAACTGGGCTTCCACTGAGGATCCAAGAAGTGTACTTCTTGGGCTTCTTATGTTGCGCTCGGATTTGTCTGAAACAAGACCCCGTGGACAGCATCAGCTCTCCACCTGTAAGTTCTTCTCTCTATAAAAATTCATGAAAAAGTATTTTATAGCCGTAATTGTTGTCCTTTGACATTTGAAGCCTTTTCTCCATTAAACTACTTTTTTTTTCAATTTAAAATAATTTGAATGGTGAAATAATATATTTAAAAATTAATCCTAATTTGTAGGTTGAGACGATAGACGGGGAAGTAACATTTTCACACCCGAATAATTCTTCTTGTTCCAAAAATTAAAAAAAAAAGAAAGTAATAGCTGAGCAAATATCATTGATACCTACACTTAAAGAATAACTTATTAGTTAAAAATTTAAAATTTTATCTTAAAAAAATATATTTTTTATATAATTCATCATAAAACATATTCAAAAAAATTTAAATGCCTAGTGGTTTAAATTAGAAAGTGAATTTGACACAGTTGCCCTTGCTTCAAACTGGGTCATACCCATGTTTTCATCAAGAAAAAAATGTCATCTCCATCTTAAATAAAAATCGACACACTGTTTTACTGGAGTCTTCGACATACTCCCTTTAGTCTGCATAATCCCTTTAGTGTCCTTCACCATAATATCCGTCACCTTAAAGTTGGATCACTGCCACCAAAATTTTGAAGTACCGAGGTCGTCATCTTCTTCTCTGCCCTCAAATGCCTTACGTAAAAATTCTAAAAGACATATATCCTGTCCTACTTCATGACAGAAACAAGAAACTGAAAGGATTTCAGGACGGAAACTCCAGAAGAGACCATCCGCTAAAGCAGCATAATCTAATATCATTAAACAGCGTAACTCTAGAGACAAGTACTTAAGGGCATATGATGGAGAACCGCAACCTCTGCTTGCTTCACTACTATCAAATGTATTCTACAGCTGCATGATAAATAAAGGAAAGAAAACATGAATAAATAAAGAAAAAAGAAAAACTATGAATTGATTCCAAGAAAAGAATGGTAAACGTGTTGTGTGCATTAGAAAGTACCTGTCTACTAGGAAGGAAAAGTAGATCAAGAGTTTTAGTTTGGCTTTGCATTTGAAGAACAAACTCCTTCATCTCGATGAACCATGAGGTATGGAGATTATCTGACCATGAGGTATCAAATCCCGAACAAATTGAAAATCTTAAACCAAACAATGAAAGAGCTACGGAGATTACGCAACAATGAGAAATCAAATCTTGAAAAGGTTGAAGAATGTCTTAAACTAAGCAATATGGATGGAGCACTGAGAGAAAAGAACGAGGGTTTGTCCATCACTCGAGATGAAAAGGATATTAAACTTAGCATTGAGGCAAAAACCTCTATCTTAAGCAACTTTCTACACAAAAATAACTTCAATTCTTGAAGCCGGTGGCAAGATATTTTTAGCCCGCTTGGAACAGAGCAGCTTGATAACGATATAAACCTAATGCAAGGGAGGTTTTTGATCATCAAATATCAACATCCTATCAAAACGAACTTGGTCGAGGGGACAAGGTCACCAGAGATTTATGCTTTATTGCTTTCTGAAAAACGGTCTCCAAACTTTGAATAGATAACTCAGTCAATTAATGATTTGATACCAAAGACCTTTTGTGCCGAACGGTAACAATAATGAACTCTTTGTCTACTGATAAATAAAGAGAGTTTCAACCGTTTAACATGCTTTTTCTCGAAGCAATCCTATCCATTTATCAATAAGAGAGGATAAAACTTGGGTTCATAAGTAATGACAAGATTAAATTTCTGAATCCCCAAATTGTAGTTGCAATAGTTTTGCAGTTTGTAATCAATGAAATTTGTGTGCTTGTCTAAAGTTTTGCAATATTCAGTATATCTAAAATCATCATTCCCTTCAGGGAGAGGTATAAAAAAACTTAGTAGACCAAAAGAGTATGGAGAGATCCAAAATTGGATAGGTTTGCCAAACACGAAGCCATCTCTTAAACAAGACACTGGTTTGAGCAAAATGTTCCAAGGGAAGAAAAGAAAATATGTGAAGAAGGACGGTATCTGGCAAGTCCGAAATCCGATTGACCTGCATTCCCACACGCGCGCACTTCTTCTTATTTTCCATGGTTTTGCTTTATACCACAACACAATTATATCCCTGATTCTTAGAACGAGATTAACAGAATCTCAGATACAACAGCATGAATTTTCATGTTGAGAGTTCAGATTCGAATTTTGAGATGAGTGGAGAGAGATTTGAGAAAGGAAAGATTATCTTTTCAAACATACTCTTGAAAAAAAAAAAAAAAAAAGATACAACAGAAAATTGAATAACAGAAAATCTCCCCAGATTTCAGGGGCCACTCCATGGTGCGTGCACAAATAGAGAATATCAGATATGAATAAGTTCCCCCTATGGAACTGAATTGAACAATTGAAGCCCCATACCCTGATTGCAGAACCCTTGATGGAAAGTTTCAAACTTTGGGGAAGACGAGCAGAATCCCTATCCCAAGGTGAGGGAAAGGACAAGACACAGAAAAAGACTTAAACTTTCTGAAACCCCAGACAGACTAGGACGATGAATTTTCAGACAGGTTCGGAAGTGGGCGGATCTGTGGACTCCCACTCCATGCAAGAATTTGTCTTATCTTGCCTGTGGTCCAATGGGCCGCTACGCCTTTGAGATTCGCTATGTAAGCCTAGCGCATAAAAAAATAACTAGGCTGCCACTCAGAATCCAATCCAAGAATTGTACTCCTTGGGCTGCCTGTACTGTGCTTGAATTTCTCTAAAACAAGATCTCAACGACAGCATCAGCTTTCCTGAACGCCTAATTTCTTATTTCTCTGAAATATTATTACTTTGTGCAATCACATGAATTCTTCCCTGTGGAAAATTAACTATAACTCTTAGATCCTTAAATTTCACGATTAGAGGTAATCTTTTTTTATTTTTTAATTCACTTTATATGCATGTTTATGATTCTAACTCAATCTAATACTTTTATTGAAAAGAAATTATAGTTGAATTATTTAAATGGTTAACATTAATCATTGTTTTTCTTTTTGATGATAAATATTAAAGAAGAAGCAATCGAAGGGAAGGAAAGTTTGGGTCAAAGTCTTTAAAAATTATTTTGGTTGTTCATTTCAAAACAATTACCAAAAAGAATAAGCAAGTTAGAATTCAACCGATTAAAGGAGCCGGAGCCTGAGTGCAATAAATAATTTAAGGAAGTTTCAACAAATTTTTTTATCACTTTCTGACAGAAGATTTGGTGCATTAATTTGCTTTCAGATTTAATTGATTCCTTTCATATGCTTAACCTCAAAGTATGACGCCAAAGCACCTGGCCCTTGCGGCCTAGTGGCAATAGCCACCCCGGTGCATTCCCCCCTCCTCGGGCTGAGTTCGAAACCCGTCCCTTGCAAATATGTTCAAAAAAAAAAAAAAAAGTATGACGCCAAAAAAATATATGAAAAGTTCTTCCCTGGAACATAAGAGATATCTTGTTACTGCCTAAACTCTTTCTGTTTATAATATTCGCGTTATGCACCAAAAAAGAAATCAGTGATATATATCTTTAGTTCTATAGAAAGTTGAAATATCAAAGTTTGTTATACCATGTTCAAGGTGACTTTACAACCTAAGTTAAAAGAGAGTATGAGAGAGAGAGGTAGAGAGAGAGAGAGAGAAGAGGCGACTACCGGACACGGGAAAGGTGGACGACACAGAGCAGAGAGCACGGCAGATCTTCATGGGAATTTCAACAGAGGAGGACGATTACAGATGGAAAGCAGGAATCTCAGATTAACCAGAAACAGGTGTGGAGAAGGAAGCTAGGTGACTCATATGATTGGGGCTTGTATAAACAAGCAACGCCCTATTTTTTCACAAATTTCTCAGAAGAATGGACACATGAAGATATGTGGAGAACCTTTATGAAGTATGGGAGGGTTTTTGACATTTACAGCCCACCTAGAAGAAGCAAAAATGGTAGTAGATTTGGATTTGTAAGATTTATGGGAGTGAAGGATAGGAAAGAGCTTGAAAGAAAGCTGGACAACATCTGGATCGGTGACTGCAAACTATGGGTAAACTACCCGAGGTACAATGACATCCAACAGAAGGGAAGGGAGAATGCAACAATGCATGTCCCGGAGCTACAAGTGCAGAACAGGTCCTACGCAAAAGTGGTGAAGGGGCATCAAACGAGTAGACATGGAAAAGGGGAAGCAAAGAGGAGCAGGGAGGAGTTCGGCTTGGACAAAGAGCAGGTCAGAAATATCGCCAGACTGGAGGACCAGTTAATGGACAAAAAGAAGATATGGGTCGAGAAAGGAAAGAAGGATTCTTGGGCTGGCTTCGAGTATAACACCAACAAAGAAGAATCCACATGGTTGGAGGGTTGCTATGTGGGAACGACCCACTATGTAGAAATGGTCAGGAACTTGCAGGAAAAATTTTATATGGAAGGATATTTCACCTGCAGAGTTCGTGCAATGGGAGGAAGATTGGTACTGATGGACTGTGAAGACAAAGAAGAGTTGAAAGACTTGGTTGAATCGTCATCAGAATGGCTGGGTCAATGGTTCAAAAAGGTGTGTCCTTGGTCTCCAGAATTGATAGCGAAAGAAAGATTCGTGTGGATAAGGTGACAAGGAGTACCTCTGAATGTTTGGGGTCCAGATTTTTTTGAATCCATGGGGTGTTCATGGGGCAAGTTCATATGTTTGGATGATAGCACAAGCCATAGAAGGAGGTTTGACATAGCTAGATTCCTAATTTCAACCCCGATCATGAATACCATCTCAGTGTCGAGAGAAATCAAAATCAATGGGTCCCTATATAACATCAAGTTTTCGGAGGAGGAATTTTACCAATAGTTTCTTCTCTTTAAAATAAGATTTTATTCCCCATTTCCAAAGCAATTCAGAGGAACATGAATCATGGTCAATAGGGAGTGAGATCGAGGATTATGGATGTGGAAAAGCAATAGAGGAAAAACAGGGGATCAACATCTCGAGGGAGCTCGAGCTTAAAGATGATGACGTGGAATGTAACAGAGGAGAGTTAGGTGGCATGTCCCAATCACACGTGCAACAAGAGGAAGAGGAGACAGTGGAGAAAGTGGCGAACAGCTTGGAGTGTTTTCAAATTTCAAATGGAGAAATGATCCGAATAACAGAAGAGAGAGTGGTGTAGAAGGCGAGGAGGGCTGAAATGACAGAGAGTTCAAATGAAGGTAGAAGTAAGAGGCCGGACCTGGAAAAAAAAAAACAAATTTGGGCCATAGAAGGCAGCCCACTTCTCATGTGATCAGCCCAAACCTTGTGATATCAACAAACAAGGGGCTGGGTAGTAGTAATCCATATCAAACAGAGGGTGTTAAATCATCTTCAGCAAACAAATCTGAAAACTTGGGAAATAGGGGCTCTACAACAGTGGCCAGCAAAGAAGAAATGGGAGATCTCAATGGGCAAGACAAAGTAAGCAAAGAGGACCAGATGAAGAGTACGAAGAGGGGGAAGGAAGGCTTCTCGTAGAAAAGGAAGAAGAAAATTCACCTTTGCAGTTCGGTGTACCTCAAGTCGAGATCTGCAGAAGAAGGGATTCAGAGGGGAAAAAACAGAGGGAGGCAAAACAAGAAACCAAAGGAGGGGATGACGGAGCCGAAGTTCATAGCAAGCCCATATGGTGAAATCGCAGGGGAATCGGTAGAAGATAGTGGGATTCAAAACTGTAATCGAGCTTTGAGAAAGCAATTGCAATCCCAACTAGTGAAGGACATATGGGATCTAGCCAAAAGATTGGGTGCCACAGCGGAGAATGATGAGGAGATACTACAAAAAATCAATGAAATGGAGGGTAGAGATAATCGAAGCAAAGCAGATCTAGCGAGGAGAGCGGCAGAAGAAGCAAAGAAGGTTAGCAATTTATGTGATGATATTGATGTCCTTTAATATTAGAGGGCTTGGAGGGTTGGGGAAAAAAAGAAAAATTAGAGAAGTGGTAAAAAAAGAGGGAGTTGAATTTTTAGCATTACAGGAGACGAAGGTAGAGATAGTAAATCGAAGTACCTGTAGAAGTATATGGGGAACTGATGAGTTTGAATGGATATTTAAACTATCAGTGGGTTTGTCTGGAGTCTTATTGTGTATCTGGAGTCGGAATGTGTTAAAAAAGACAGAGGTAATTGAAGGAAAAGATTTCATAGGTGTTTTTGGGGAATGGGGGGAGGATAGGTTGCCTGTCTATATACTTAATATTTACTCCTCATGTCACTTGGAAGAAAAAAGAGCATTATGGAAGGAGTTGTTGATGCTGATTACTAGTAGAAAGGGCAATTGGTGTTTGGGGGGAGACTTCAACGCAGCAAGAAAAGTAGGGGACAGAGTAGGTTGCAGAGGGACGACCAGAGAAATGAGGGAGTTTAATAGTTTTATTCAAGATGCTGGGCTGGTAGATTTACCCTTGGTGGGTAGGAGGTACACTTGGCACAGTGCTAATGGGCAACATAGAAGTAGAATTGATAAGTTCTTACTGTCAGATGACTGGCTGAAGAATTGGAGCGACTTAAAACAGTGGGGTTTGGGAAGAACAGTGTCTGATCATTGCCCTCTATTATTAAAGAATGAAAAGGTTGATTGGGGGCCAAAACCTTTTAAATTCTTTGATGCTTGGCTAGAATATCCTGATTGCAAACAGTTGATAAGCCAGGTGTGGAATTCAAAAGTAGGGAGTGGATGGATGGGATTCAGACTCAAAGAAAAGTTGAAAAAAACCAAAAAAGCCCTGAAGGAATGGAGTGCAAACCACATGGCGGATGTGGACAGAAGAATAGTTGAAGCTGAAAAGAACATAGCAGAACTGGACAGGAAGGAAGAAAACAGCCAACTCACAACAGACGATATCGAAATAAGGAGAAGCAGCTTCCTCGACTTGTGGAAGAATATGAGAATCAAAGAGAGCATGCTGCAACAGAAATCAAGAAAGATGTGGCTGAAAGAGGGGGATGCAAACACAAAATTTTACCACAGAAGTGTGAAGGGCAGATGGAGAAGAAACGAAATCAATAGCATCCAGATCAATGGGGAGCAATTTAGAGGTGTGTCTGAGATTAGAGAGGGTGTGGTAAAGTATTTTAAGGGGCTATTTACAGAAGAAGAGTGGCAAAGACCAAAGCTGGACGGAATCAACTTTAGACAACTAGCTGATAAGGACAATGATTTCCTGATGGCAAAATTCACTGAAGAAGAAATTCAAAATGTAGTGTGGGATTGTGACTCGACAAAGTCCCCGGGCCTGGATGGATTCAATTTCAGATTCATAAAGACAATGTGGGAGGAAATAAAGCAAGGTGTCATAGGATTCGTGCTGGAATTCCATGAGCATGGCAAAATAGTGAGAGGCTCAAACTCCTCCTTTATTACCTTAATCCCGAAGGTTGAAAACCCCCAAAGAATTGAGGAGTACAGACCAATCTCTCTCATTGGAGTTATATATAAGATTCTTGCAAAGCTGTTAGCCAATCGCCTCAGGAAAGTACTGGGTAAGATCATAGGGGAGTAGCAGATGGTGTTTATAGAAGGCAGACAGTTGATGGATGGTGTGGTGATTGCAAATGAGGTGATCGACGAAGCGAAAAGGAAAAGAATAAAGAGTTTTCTATTCAAAGTGGATTTTGAAAAAGCTTATGACAAGGTGAGCTGGGATTTTGTTGATTATATGCTTATGAGGACGGGATTCACAGCTAAGTGGAGAAAGTGGATAAAGGAATGCTTACAATCGAGTATGATCTCAATCCTTGTGAATGGAAGCCCAACAAAGCAATTCTCGGTCAACAAGGGAATAAGACAAGGCGACCCGCTCTCACCTTTTTTATTCCTATTAGTGGTAGAAGGTTTGAATGGGCTAATGCAATTGGCAGTGGACAAAGACTTGTTTAAAGGGGTGAGGATTGGTAACGGGAATGTAGCAGTATCTCATCTCCAATTTGCCGATGATACTTTATTTTTTGGGGAGGCTTCGGAAGAAAACATAAAGGCAATCAAATGCATTATGAGGACTTTCGAACTTGCTTCGGGTTTGAAGATCAACTTTGGAAAAATTCAGATAATGGAGATCGGAACGGAGGAGGGCTGGCAGGAGCGAATGGCTTATAGACTGTGCTGCAAAGGGGGAGAACTACCGTTCAAGTACTTGGGAATTCCAATCGGAGGGAATCACAGAAAGTTATCAATGTGGAAGCCTCTGATGGAATCTTTCAAGAAGAAACTAGCTAGCTGGAAAAGTCAAAACTTATCCCTTGGAGGTCGGATCACGCTCTTAAACTCTGTGTTGTCCAGTTTACTCGTGTATTTGATGTCGGCCTACTTAATCCCCAAAGGTACTCTCTCTTCTCTAGATAAAATACGTAGGAATTTTTTATGGGAAGGGTCGAAGGAGGAGAAAAAAATCAAATGGGTGAGCTGGGAAAGGGTGTGTAGGAAGAAGGAGTGTGGAGGCCTAGGAGTAAAGGACCTAAGAAAGTTTAATCTGGCGCTAATGGGAAAATGGTGGGGAAGGTTAGCGAAAGGGGAAGAGGGGCTTTGGGGGAAAGTCATAAAAGGAAAATATGGAGTAAATGGGGGACAGTGGATGGGCTGGGTGAGAGACGGAAGAAGAGTAGGTTCACTTTGGTGGAGAGACATGCAAAGTCTCAATGTCGGGGGGGCCGGGAATGAGGGATGGTTGACGGAGGGTTTTAGAATTAAGATAGGGGAAGGGAAAGGAGTGAGTTTTTGGTGGGATGAGTGGTGTGGAGAGAACTGCCTAGCGAATATATATCCTAGATTGTATGCCTTGTCAACAGGGAAGGAAAAAGATTGCCAGAAAATGGGAGAGGATCACAATGGTACATGGAAGTGGAACATGACATGGAGAAGGGCCCTGTTCCAGTGGGAGGATGAGGCTGAAAAGGAGCTGCGGAAGACAATCGACAAAGTTAAAATCTCCCCAGGTTGTGCAGATAGATGGGAGTGGATACATAGCGTCGATGGACAATATTCAACGACAACAGCTTATGCAATATTAGCAAAACAAGGGAGGGATGACGAGGAGGAGAAAATGTCAAAGAGAGTATGGAATCCGACCATCCCAACGAAAGTAGCTGCATTCAACTGGAAGGTATTAATGGACAGAATCCCAACTAAAATTAATTTGTTCAAATGGGGGATCATAAAAGATGTGGAAGAAAATAAATGCATTTTGTGTAAGGAAGAGGAGGAAGACTCAAGCCATTTGTTCTTGAACTACAAAGTTGCTCAGTGGCTGTGGAAGGCTTGTGCAAAGTGGTGGGGAATTTCAATAGTTTTACAAAAAGAATGCAGGCCAACATTTCAACACTTGGGGGTGTGGACCAAAAAACCACACAAAAAGGAAGGGTGGGACTGTATATGGAATGCACTGTTATGGACGGTGTGGACGGTGCGCAACAAAAAGCTTTTTGACAATGCTGAGGTAAATTTGATTAATCTTTTTGAACTTATTCAATTAAGATCTTTTGCTTGGATCAAAGCTAGGAAACCCAAGTGTTACTTCAATCTATCAGATTGGTTAATCAATCCTGCTTCTTGTCTTAGTAAAGTAAAGTAGGACATGTTTGAAAGAGGGTAGTAACACCAAAGGGCTTGTAATTTGTTCATGGATATGGGTTAGGGTACCCCTTGTATTCAAGTTATCAATATGAATTTCTTGGCTGTTAAAAAAAAAATACCACGTTCAAGGTGTATCTCTTATGCACAAATAACAACATAATATGTTATATTCCTTCTTAAATCCATCTCCTTGGTAAAACAAAATTATGTATGGAGTTTACCTCAAAAGCAGGAAAATTAAAGGATGGTTTTTTATGTACTTCAAAAAAAAATTGTTATGTAGTCTTGATATTATATAACACATACTATTTGATGGGGACTAGTTCCCTCATCTTATAATTTTCTTTGATAGTCTAATGTACTTTGAACTATTAAATAAAACACTCTATGCAGTTTAATGTACTTTAAACTATTAAACAAAAAGATCTACGTAACCAAATTTGGTACGGTAATGAAGAAGAATTTTAGTATTTTGGTGTTGTTGGTCTTCGTCCAAACTGTTGGAAAGTTGGATTGTGGAAAAATGTATGGAAAAATATATATGAAGAAAAAATGCTTTAAACAAAAGAAACACTACATGCATGCATCTTGAAGGACATAACTCAAAAACGGGGAAAAAAACAAAGTTTCTTAAATGTATCATTGAAATTAATTAGAATCTAGAATTATTATTTTGGGACGACTAATTTGAAAAATGATGAAATGTTAGACTCTCGCATATAGCTAGTCTCATGCACTTCCCTTCGTTGCAATTTTAAATGATTAAAATTCAAAACGCCAGAAACTAGAAGTAAACGAGCTTAGTGTGAACAAGATTTTAAAGGTTTTTTTTTTTGTGCAACAAATTTTATTAATCAATTTTTTTAGATATTTAATGTTAAAGTGTTCCTGAATTAATTTATCATACATTTTAAAATTAATTTCTTTTTAAATAATTTTAAAAACACAACACTCATATCAATTTGATATATTCAATGAAATTCATTTTTTTAAATACTGATATGAAGTTTAAAGTTATCCTACAAGACAAGCAAACTTGAGAAAAGTCTTATAAACTCAAACCATCATCATTTCCCATTGAAAAAAAGAAATATTACAGAAAAATAAACGAGGCTTGCCACGTGGAGATCCGCTTAATTAAATTTGAAGTCCTTTGAGTCATCCACGGTGCTAGAAAACCTGTTACACCAACAATTCCTAAATATGAAGTCCCCGAGATGCTAACTACTCTGAGAAAATCGTTAATAAAACAGAACTATGAATAGACACTAACCTTCGCTATCGCCAAGAGGGAACAAATCAAAAGGACACACCTAACCCAAAACAGACAAACCAACCAACTTAAAAGAAAAGTAAACGAAAGAAACTTGCCACTCTCCCCCGCAGCGGCTGCCAAGTTTTTCCGCAGAGAGAAATTACGAAAGAGGGGTGGCTACTGGCTAGGGCAAAATAATGGGAGTAATAGACACAATTGATCAGACTATATATACCTCGTGCCATTAATTCTTATTCTCATAATAAGTTGGGAGGAGGTGTGAATAACTAATAACACGTTTCCTTAAGTTTTATTTATTTCTTCCTTCAACCACATTAAAAGAAATCAAAATATAGAATACACATAGTTGCATCTCATTTGTTTTGATTTTTATTATATAAAAAATATAAAAATTAAGATATTCTGATATTAAAAATATTAATATATTTTATATTAATCATGTGATAAAATTGCACCTGAAGCAACGGTTATAAGATGAGTTAAAAGGTGCATCCCCAACCTTTAAATTGAAGTTTAAATTTTTAATTTTTAAATGTAAACCCGTTAAAAAAAATTATGTAATAAAATTAAAATTTACAATATATTTCACATATTAAATAATTGTAATTAAATTTTTCTTGATGATACTTTTAATACTCTGACGTGTTAATTTTTTTTTTTCTTGTCAGATATACGTTGCTTTTGTGGTTTAATTTTATGAGAGAATGACCACTCCGCAAGTCTAGCCAAAAACAAGTTTTTCAAAATTCAAACCCCGTGATAGGGAATTGTTCCTCTCCGCACGTACCTACTGATGGCATGGCGGGCAATTTGACAACAGCCGATTGAGAGCAAACCTTACATGCATAATTGCATATTGCTTAAATTCATTAATTGAACATTTATAGCGCCGTATATTGCTGCTTACGCCTCATACCCCTGTTTTCTTACTTCCTTTTCCCGAATATAGAACTATAGATCATGTTAAACTATATTGCTTAACATATAATATTGAAGTGTGTATTAATTAATATTTATTTTATATTCATCTAAAAAAGGAAATTCCTGTTTTAAATAGTGAGTTAACACTTAAATCTTTGAACTATATGGAAATAGGAATGTGTAAAAGGTTTTAAGGTGTAAAAGAAATAGAAATTAAGTGGGGATTAAAGTGACCGGTAAACGAAAATAATTTGTTTACAAACACATTAATATTAAAATTTTAAAACTTGACGTATATAATTTTTATATACTCTTTTATTTAGGTTAGATAAACGAATCAATTAACATTCATTCATTCAAGTCTTTTCATATCATATGAGTCCTTGTTCTGATCTACAACATGGCATATATATGGAGTGGAGCAGGGATAATTAAGGAACAAGGTGATATTTAATGATGGCGAGGTTTCTTAGTTGACAGAATTTCTGATTCTATCCAAAACTTTTTTTAAGGCTGAAGACAAGATGAAGGGCTGTATGTTTTCTTTGTAGGATTGGAATTGTAATCCTCACTTATGTGCCAGGCACTACTAAAATCTCAATCTTCAGCAACATGGAAGCAGGTTTTTTTTGGAGGGCTGCGTTTAACAGGCGGGAGAGTATAATGCAGGGTTTTTTTGCTATATTGTAGTTTAAAACAAAGTGAAACAAAGTGGGAGGTACTTAGTAGAATAAAAAGGAAGGAAATGGATTGGTGTTTCCTCATAGAGCTTATCGCTAAATGCTTCCATTTCTATGGAATTTGAATCCTAAGAGGATTAGGAAGCTTATATAATGGATTTGAAATACTAGTTGATTTGTTTTTCTCAAAAAAAAAAAAAAGTGAAATAAGTAAATATACAGTTATGAGCATCTTTTGTACCTAAAAAATAATAAAATTTGCTTGGTTGATCAATATATGTATATATATATATTATGTGATTGTTATGAGAGTTTATTCTTAATAAATCATTGTCAATTTGTAAAATAATAGACATGAAAGACAGTTTTACAAGTCCAAATATAGATAAAAGAGGTTAACATTAGTGATCTATATGACATATCAATATTTGTTGAACATAATAAATAACCATTTTTATAAACAATTTGTAGAGAGTTCAACGTGATTGAGTTGATTAAAAGAATAAAGAGGTCCATCATATAAGTTGTCCAATATAATATTGTATAAGATCATGATTTTGCCATATGAGATTTAAAAAAAAAAAAAGAGGTTTATTTGACCATATAGAAAGTTGATAAACGCACAAATCTTATTTCATAATGAAATTTCATAATAATAATATAAAGTAGATGTATATTAATTTACACACATATATTTAATAGAATAAATCAGCCACAATTGTTGTTATATAAAATTATAGAACTCTATATTTTGATATAAAATTGTGACTAAATCATTTTTACCTTTTATTAAAAAAAAAAGAAAAAAGAAAAAAGAAAAAACCACTCTCAAGACTATGTTTACTAATGTTATCATTCACAGTTTGCAAGTTCAGACCCACATTACTCACCACTTTCCCACACAACAAACAACTAAAAGAGACAACTCAAATTACCAATAGATGATCGTCAAGTGGCATTAAACACATTTGATGCCCCACCTTCAACACGTCATCTTCATTCCCCACCAAGCCTTTCCTCCGTTTGGGCGAGCCACCACCCAAATCCCCCATACCCAGAACCGGCTCCCGCCGCTTAGCCGTCACTCTCACGGGCTCCGGTTCGCCTATCCGGTGTGGGAAATTAAGCAAAGCCTTTGAGCCACGTAGCTTATAAGCCGCTTGATCATAAGCCAAAGCCGCTTCCTCAGCCGTCTCATATGTGCCAAGCCACACTCTGGCTCCATTCTTCGCTCGGTCGCGAATCTCCGCCGCAAACTTCCCCCATGGCCTTTGCCTTACCCCTCTATAATGCCTCCCTTTAGCCACCCTCGGATTCATCCTCCGGAGGCAGTTTCCTTCTCTTCCAAATAAAAATGTGCTTCCCATTTCCGAAGGCATGACGGTGGTACTCGAAACTATCGGCTGAGCCAATTGAGCCAAGCCTATGGCTCCAAGAGCCGGCTCCATTTTCACGGCAGCACTGGTTAAATCTAATGGAGACCACCCATAATCAAGTGCGTCGTTGAGAGAGTTGTAAATGATCATGTCCTCGGAGTCGTCGACTTTTAACGGCAGGTCACCCCAGTACTCCGACAAGCAAGGGGTAAGGCTGCCAATACTTGAGCTCTGTTGAGGGAAGCTGAATTCCGGCATGGTAACTTGATTCATGTTTCTACGGTTTGGCACACCTTCAAGGGAAGAAGAGATATTTATGGGGTGGAATTCAGGGGAAGGAGGAAGGAAGGGGTATATATATAGAAGGAGAAAAAGGGTGCCAATTGGAAATAAAATACTAGTGTTAATAACTATTTTAGAAAAAATTTGATAAAAGCTACTTTTTTTCGTTAGAAAAAACTGGAAATTGGAAGTGAGAATTTTTTTCTTTCTTAGTTTTTATAAAATTTCAATGACAAGTGGGTGAGTTGAGTGGGGAAAGAAGAGGTGAAATCGTTGTGTTTTTTAATTTTTTATTTTTTAATAAAAATAATAATTAATAAATTAATATTATTAAATGTTAACAAATTTGAGATTTTATCATCAGATATAATAAACAACTGACCGACTTGAATGAGGCGCGGCCAAATCGTTGTGTTGTTTTCGTTGAGGTGTATGGATGTCAGGAATTCACATCAGCAATGCGTATCTTCCGTAAATTTCTACAATAAGAATTTCCATGTATTGATCTCGAAAGAAAAAAAAGAAAAAAAGAAATTTCCATGTATTTTTATCTATTTGTTAGGGGTAAAATGGCCATTATAATCAACCATGAGATGTTACTTTCCTTTGGTGTGTGTGGTGGAGATTTGAGTCTATTTCTTTTGAATAGCAATATGCACTTTATCAATTGAATTATAAAATTACCAAGCAGGTCTGAGGTCCAATGATTGGTCCCCAAGCCTTAGGGTTTGGGTGACGCGGACATTAGAGTTTTGAATTTTGCCACCGCCGTAAATTTCACAAACTTGCAATCTAATGATCACGCGCCTCACATAAGGAGTAGAATGTTCACCATTCTGAGAAATCCCAGTTGCTAACAAACTAACTCTACTAACTTCCTAATCATTACCCTTGTCAAAAAAAAAATTGAATTATAAAATTTATTGTTAGAGATATTTGTTTTTTTTTTTTTTTTGAACAAAGTGATAAGAGTAGAATTCGGACTTTGAACCCACCAGGAGGAAGGAGAACTGCACTTTTAAGGTGGCCCGAAGGCCACTTGGCTCGAAGGCAATGTAGTTTGTACCATATCGTATCGACCGATACTGGTTTTGGAGGTTAACCGAAATAAAATAAGTTGAAATTTCATTTCGGTCAAATTTTGGGTGTACCAGTCAAATTTTGATGTATCGGCCGAAATTTCGGGTATCAGCTGGTACATCGAAATTTGACTGGTACATTATGCAAGAAGGAAAAAAAAAAAGATTTCCCAGCCGAGAAGGCCGCGGAGGGGAAAGAAAGTCGCCGAATCTGCACTGAACAGAACAAGAAACAACAAACAAATAGAATCCCCAGTCGAGAAGGCCGCCGAAGGAGAAAGAAAGCCGCCGGATTTGCACTGAACAGAACAAGAAACAGCAAACAAACAGAATCCCCAGCCAAGAAGGCCACCGGAGGAGAAAGAAAACTACCAGATCTGCACCGAAAAGAACAAGAAACAGCAAACAAACAAAAAACCAACATATAAACAAATAAACAAGCAAACAACAAACCAAAAAAACCCACACAAAACAAAAAACAAAGCCACTAGAGGGGCTACAGAATCGATAGGCCACGAAGGCCATCGGAGCTCAGAGCACATAGTCTGCTCCATTGTACTTGAGCGGCCGGGAGGCCGACGACTTAAGCAGCAAAACGTGGAAGCCCGAAGGCTTCTGATCAAAACCGCAGGGGCCATAAGAGAAAAAGAGAGAAATAAGTGGATACCCTGACTTCTCTTTTTTGAACAAAAGGTGAGGGGCATGGGGGAACAAACAAAAATTATTAAGAGGGTTTTATTTTTTTAAGTGAAACATTCTTAATATTTATTGAGAATTTGTTTAATTACCCTTCTTAATTGAAAAAAAAGAGTCAATCTTTTTAATTTTTATAAG